GACGACAGTGTAACGTCAATTCACATCAGAGACCAGGCCACACACCACGGACAGGATGGCACCCAAATGTCTGCATATCCTTGGTGCGCACCCTCAATAGTCTTAGGTGCCCACCAGAAATATTTTATTTTCACCAACCCTAAAAGTTACGTGACAACAGCGCAGTGGTTAGCGCCTTAGGTTACGAACGTTCGGGATCCGGGTTTCAAATCCCGGCGACTGTAGTCCGATCTTTCTTTCCACGATTCTTAAATGAGAAGAAAATGTAGCAGTACCCCAGCAGCGACATCTACACCCGCAACAGAACCTATCTCGGCCTCTACAGCCATCCGTACAGGCAGCCACAACTATCACGATCTATCCACCTCAACAACATTGACAATTTTAATTTATTTAGTCCCAAATATCATTTAGTAATACTTTCATATCACTACAATAATTTGATACTACGAAGATCAAACGTAAAACCTGGTGAAAACTTGCTTCATTTGAAAATAAGGAAATGTGGTAATGTTTTTTTTGTAACTACTGCAATTGCGAGATTAATTTTCTCAAACCATTAGAACCAAGGTGTGAAGAATGTTCTTAATGCTTCAAAACATAAAGTAACGGCCAATTTTTGGGTTTCCCTTCACAAGCATCCTCCATCTCATAACAATTATTCCTAACGATCTTCCAATGGTTGCAATATAAAACCGGTAAGAACCGATAAGAAAGGAAGGAAAAGGAATTAAAACCTTAAAATCCTTTAAGAAACTAGTCAGCAGTTAAACTATCGAACTTGAACGGTCAGCACAGTGGGTTGGCGTGTCGAGAACTCGTTTCTCCATGTCGATGGAGGTAAAATTTCGTGACGACTTTCGTCGACGGGTTTCGAAAGCGACCACGTGGCCACGGTCGAGTTAAGCTCTGGAAAAGCTTGGAAAACGCCGCTGACTGCGGCTTCCCGTGGCAATAAATAAAGCTGATAAGCCGGCCACGGTGTTTGCGAACGTTTTATTATTACTTTTCCATCCCATCGCCATTATTCTTCATCGTTTCCATGTCACGATGAACGATCGGTCCGGAGCCATTGCTTCGATTTGCGACGAATATCCACAACATTTCTTCGATCAGTATTTCTTCTTTCTTTCGAATGCTCTAGGCTTGTTTTTGCATAGTAACAATATGCTAAATCTGAACGATATCCGATTAATATCATATAAAAATATATTTTGGGGAAAAAATATTGTCTCTCAAGTTTTTAACTGTTCTAACTCTATCTTTCGAGAACAACTTACTTAACTAACCCGTGTGTATCTCATTGATCTAAAGAAATTCTAGAATTCATTACAACCTCGTCTGTGCTATTATTAGTCCTCGTCGTTTCCCTGTCGAACAAACGTTTACGCGAACTCTCGGTCTCCATAACTCGGTATCATTAATAATGATTTTTTCTATCGAAACGTGCTCTATTTGCTAGTTGCTATTATTCTAGCATAAAATTCTATATAAATTGTAATTGTTTTTAGTACTTATTATATAACTGAACCAAATAATCGGACGGTCATCCGACGTTTCTTATTATACTGGGACAAAGAAAAGAAAGGAATCGTCGTGTGCGTTAAACAAAGGTTCTTTGCAAGCGGTGATAACAACGACGTTAACGGCGTTTCACCGGTACCAGATTTTCGGTGGCGTTCGTGTATCAAAAGCACGTGCTCTCTTGCGCGGCGAACAAAAGTAACGTGGTATATAAAAGCGAAGAGCGAGGTTTTGTTTTCCCGGCACGCAGCAATTCGCAGTTCGTTGCGACATTTTTCGAAACGCGCCTCGAAACCATTTTTTTAGTAGTTATGGAACGCGACGGTGCGGCCGGTTGACGAGGAACGAGTTTCAGTCGTGGAATTTTGCGATTATGCCGAATGCGTTTCCATCGTGAAGTGTCAAAATTTGAAACGCGCTTCGTTCGGATTAATTCTGTTAAAAAAAATGGCAAGAGAACAACGCATGGTTGAGCGGAACAAAAAATGGGATTTGGGAAAAGATTTTTAAATAAAAAAATTGCATTGATACTAGAACAATACCTTCAATCTTTCTTTTTGTAGTAGTTGAAATCATGTAGCTGCTTCGATTTTATACTTTTCCATTTACTTCGTGAAACATCTGTTTCCTCCAATCCTTTTGTAGCGTGCGCTTGTTACGCGCACGTATGTCCGATATCTATGACACTGCGTTGTATGACTTGTTACTCGCCGAATTAACCTGTGATAACTGATTCACTAGAGTGTAAGTGTGGAGAAAAATGGTTGAATGTGCGAAGAACGATCAACGACACCAAAGGTTATACTTCTCCGAACAATGAGGTTTCGAATTGTGCTTGACGGCTGAGACGAGATTTACGAATGCTTAGTGCGGATGATTATGCGATACGAAACGACTGCTGCGACGCGATTATCACGTAAAATAAGAAAAGGAAATCGAAGATGAAAAGAAAAATAAAATATAAAAAAAATGAAAAGAGAATTTATTTTTTTAACACTCGGTTTACACTAATTACGATTTGCTTCTGAACTCTTGCCGTGACTTTCCAAGTCTGAAGCTCTTACAATTTGACTTTTGATCGGATCTGTTTCTTTTTCCTTTGCCACTCTTCAATATCCCCACTATCCGCGCGTTTTTTAGGCGTCCGCGACCGTTGCTACGCATGTCTTCTTCTAGAACATTCGGCGGAAGGACCGTTGGGGATATCGATAGCTCATTAGGCACTTCGGCGATATACATTGTCACCGAATGCCGCCACATCTTTTCTCCATCATCAGTCCATCAGGTTTGAAGTGTGCCGGTCGTGACAAACGCTTGAAGATGTTGACGAGACGAGAAAGACAACTGGAAGAACTGTTAATTAGTCGTTGCAACTTATGGAACGATTCTGTCTCTACGAATGCTTAGAGATGTTGATGAGTCAGGAAATGCAGATGGGACTGCTTTCTCCGAAAGCTGAGAGATGGAAACGGTTCTTTGCTTAACGTCTGGTGGAGATGTTACCGTAGAAGGGAGATTGTGCGAGACCCTTCTCTCTGAAAGTTGAGAGAATTAACTAGTCTTACTTCATGTCTAGTGGAGATGTTAACGATTCGAAGACACGGATGACGCTCAACTAATCGCTTCAAATGATTAAACGAGACTCCGATCGATATTCACAGTTGAACGTTTGGAACGAGATTGCTCGCACGCTGATTTGTTTTCATCGAACGCAAGAAGAAGGGTAATCGGTATACTCACTAGCATTCACTGACCTTCCGTGCGCTCGAAACACAGAGGATTCTTAGAGGGAAGTGTGTAAGCGATACTTGGAGGAGCGTGACGCTTCGATGTTTTTAACTCGTATTACTAGGGGCGCGGTACTTTGTCCGGGTGACGCTCGATCGATGGCATCATTATAATCCACAAAATTAAAAATAAAACTTCGGAAAAAACCCGCGTTTATGACACACTTAGCTATAGAAACTGCGATAGGCATAAAAAATTAAAAATACTGTCTATTACGCCACTAGACTTACCATAGGCCGTATTCTAACCGTTGCTCGTGGCACTACAGTGTTGCAGACAGATCGTCTTATCTGACCTACGAAAAATATACAATATAGCGACAAGCGCATAGTTCATCAAGCAGCGAGTTTTAAAAACGTTGATTCGTTTAATGTGACCGTTATTTCATATACACAAAGAAGTTGGCATACGTGATCATAGGCGCGAATGGTGGCGTGACCCGAGCGTAGTGGGGGTCGTCTCCGAGAGAAGACAAAGAACGGAATGAAACGAGAGATTCTGAGGAATAAAATTAAAGTCGCTTAGTCTAACGAATACATCAAGAAATATTATAAAGTCGGATCGAATTCCTGTATCAAACTAATTATAGTTGTTAAACAATTTGTGGCGTGTTCATTATATTATTTTAAATATTGTCAAATATACAAGTTTATGTTAACCCAGTGTTAAACCCAGTGTTAATTCAGTGTTAAACTCGTTCTAACCACCTCTGTTATCTTAATCGAAACAGGGGAACGACTAATTCGCGGTGTCAATTATCCGAACCGTAGCGAGAATTTACGCCTCTCGCTGACGCGTTTTCCTCACGACCGCGTCTCTCCGCGAACGGTCGTAACACTGTCCCGCTCTCTAAAAGTCTCTTGACTGCGAAAGTGAGAATCATAAATTACATTCGTAAATCCTCACGTTTTTGTTCCTTCAGACGTAATACCTTTTTTCGTTCGTTTTTTAATTCGATAGTTAATAATGTGATCAAAACGTAACATAAAGATTATTTCTATAATACTGTGATTCATGTTATCAGGTTGAGAAATAAAATTTTAACTTGGAAATTCAATCTTTCGAGTGCCTTCCCGTTAACACGAAAGAGGAGGATAATATTTAAGAAATACTTTGGCAGGCACTTTTTAAGGAAATTTCATCATTTATTCGTCTCGAGGCTCGACAAGACAAAATAGAGTGGAATTAAACGAGCCAGGGATCCCAGACGTTCGGCGGTTTATGTCATACGCGCTGACAATTCGAGCGGAGCACTTTAAACTTCGTCAATTTTTCACCCTGCGGAAATTGAATACCCTCTTCTCTTACTTTACGTTCGTCGTCGATGTGTCGTTGTCTTGATGAGACCTTCCTTGTGTCTGATGGAAATCAAAATTGAAACGAACGTTCATTAGGGTCTCTTATATAGGGTCTCCCGTAGCCTATAAGGCTTTTAACAAACTTGTTCCATATATTCTATAGACGAATCATTGTATTAGCTTTTTTTAATAAATTTCGTCGTTCCTTCTTTTTGTCATACGTTTGGTACAAAAGTACAGAAAAACATTAGTACGTTTAATAACTAGATTACTGGTATTTATGCAAATTCGTACTGCCGTGAAAATAGTTAAAAAGCTAGGATTTAGGCAAAAATTTGTTTCTCTTATTCAAGATTGCAACGAGTGCTGTATTTTGGGTATTTTCTACACTTTTACGTATTATGTGCAGTCTATGCATTTTTGCATATCAATCAAATTTATAAATATAAATGCATGAATTCATAAAAATCCGCAGTGTATTAATATTTATCGTCCTATCTCATTTACAAACTAACTTTTCATAATTTCGAAACTAATATTTCAAAAATTAAAATTCACTGCCATTGAAGTTATTTAAATTCAAGTTTAAATTTAAGTGTTAGAATTTTTTAAATGCTTGGTAACGAAATCTTCAAGTCTTTCTATTAATGGACATGAATTTTGATATCATCCCACAGAATATTCTTTAATATAAACTTGCTGATCTCTTCAACTCCTCATTCGTGAAATTAGTAATTTTTCAACGCAG